CAACCTAAGAGCGATGGCCTCCAACCTACTAGCGATGGCCTCCAACCTACTAGCAATGGCCTCCAACCCAGTCGCGATGGCCTCCAGCTAATAGCGATGGCCTCCAACCTCATAGCGATGGCCTCGAACCTAGAAGCGATGGCTATATACACATGCACATCCCACTGTAGAAGCTTGAGTGGATACAGTGGTGGGTTGTGAATGTCTTCAACCAGCTGTGCTTTGAATGATTTAACAAAGACAGCGTGTAGTGTGCATGCGTTTCACACGGTGTTTCATGTAACCTGGCTGAAATCTGGGTGCCGCTTTATCCCCCGTTGTGCACCTCGCTTGTTCCTCACCAATCCGCTCATGCCGCCAAAGACTCACTCGAGGCTTCCACTTGGCGGCAGTAGGGCATCGTTGAGCTATCTGAGGCAACTACTGCACCGCTAGGGCAGCGCAAACCCCATGGTGCTCCACCGGGCTCGACACTCAGAAATCCCACGGCCTCTGCGAAGCCAGCGCTTGCCCATGAGCCATAAGAGAGGTGTGAAAAGAGGAGTGGAATCAGGCACTAGTTAGCGCAGGCAATAGTCAGCACAGATCAGGAGTCAAGTGAAGCGCTAGCTGTTGGCTAGGTCCACGAGCCAGCGTAGACAGTAGCTGTCGACGATTCCAACAGATTCTCAAGAAACACACAATTTATCACAATTTGATTCTTATTCCATTACAGTTTCCTGAAGCTGACTGGTGCCCTTTACAAACACTCCTCAACGCAGGTTCCACTTGCCCAGACGCGTCATCAGCCTTGGCCAGTGTAGTTGAAGGGTGCTGCGTGAGGGTCTCCAAAGGCAGTTGCGTGATATGCCAAGCGAAGGATGTGGGTCAACTGTGCCATCGTCATGCCACCCTTTGCGGTGTTGGTGATATCGCCCACGGTAGCGGATTTCATCCTCAGGTGACTCAGGTGCGCCCAGGTGCGTCAGGTCGGTATTTTGTGAAGTTCGCCGGTTTTGAGGTTTGACCGGGGTCACCCTTGGATAACCTCAGAAAGAGCAGGCTCAGTGATGAATGTCTTCTGCCTACGTGTCGTTTGAGCATGCTAAGAAATCTGATTCAGCCAAACATCAGCACAGGGCAACTCTTCTGACTCCATAGTGTCTGAAATTGGTCCACAAACCTTGGCTTGACGCTTGACCTTCTCACAAAAATATTGATCTTCTTTCAAGTCATGGTCGCCGGCCGCCCTTCATGACATCGACATCTTTCACAGAACAGTGTGACTACAATGAAGATTCCTGGAACATTCCCGCTATTGCCGATGTACTGTAAGCACACACAGACACAGAAACGTGGTTCCTGATTCAATTACCATGTACGAACCAGCCTTGGCCACCTCCAAAGAAAGGAGACTCTAGGTTAATTGATCAGTCTTGCACTACAGAAGAGCTTGTGGTCTGACTCAGCTCATGCTAGCTTATCTACCAAAAGCTTGGCAAAGGTATCTCCAGGTAGCAAGGCTGAGGCTTGGGAGAGATCGCTCACCTTCACCGCCGCATTGCTAGCACACAGGGTTGTACGATTTCCACCCAACAACGGCCCTTCGGCATGGCCTCAGGGTTTCAAAAACCAAACGACTGGTGGATACAAAGGCATTTGGCATAAACTCACGCCCAAGAGAAAACCTTCCAGATCTCTTGACAATCTTTGGTGAAAGAAATTATCCAGGCCTGGTAAGCAAGTGAAAAGGACTTTTTCAGCATTGTCTGCGGCGATGTGGATTGCAGGTGCCCGTGTGTACGCTGCTCTTTCCTGCGCGCGATACAGAATCCTAGAAATTTGCAGTTGGTTTACCTTCCCCTAGAACATGACCCATGTGATCCCTAGTTACCTAGTTGGATCCCTGCTAGCAGCTAGCATGACAATGCTGTGAAAATGACATGGCTGTTATGTGTGGAAGTTCAAACTCCGAAAGGACGCATACGAGGCATCAAGATGTTGTTCATGTATGTTCAAAGTTGCTGAGGCAACATGCGAACAGCTCCCCACCTTGCAGGCAATGCAACAAATACATCTATATTCTCAATATATCAGTCTACAGCACTTTTTGGGATGTCAAAGCCAACCGGTTCACGCGTCCTTGGACGACAAGGATTGCAAATTAGAGATCTTCAAATCCAGTGGTCGCGCGTCCGCGTTGGGGTTTGGGGTCTCGGGCATCGCTACCGAGAGTGAGGTTTCACAGCTGCCCAGCTCCATCCAATCACCTGGAAAAGCGCAGGTGGAGCCAGGCCAAGGAAGGATCTTGGACAAGGAAAAGTCATCACTATTGAGCCATATTAAGCTCATGGGAAGTCCCCATTGGAAGGGTTTGGGCCGTTAAACCATTGTCAAGCTGGAGGTTGGTCAAGCAGGCTCGACAATGCCAGGGGGATAGAAACTCTGGTCAAATGGCCTGTCGAACACTCTCCGGCAATTGTCATTTGGATCCCGCAGTTGTAGCAGTGCAGTTAAGCTATATACATAATCGTTTGCAAGAGACATGTGGTAAAATTCCTTGTCACCTGCGCAACAGATACTTAGATATGGTTCATCCAATGCCATAATCCACAATGAAAGGAAGGAGGGAACGGCAAGGTGCAATGTCAGCTCACTTGAAATGTTGAACATTGGTTGGAGTGCATGACAATGTCAGCGGCTCAGCGGTGGCAAGGCTGCAGAAACGGTCTCTTGAAAAGGTTTTGGGGATTATCACGAAAGGACCATGGAAACAAAAAGACAGCGGAAGGAGGTCAACAGTTCAAAATTCAACAGGTACGTGGAAATGGCGTCCCATTTCCATATCCTCGGATACATCGCCAGCTTCGAGGCGACGATGTATCCTGCCTGGTCCCCTGCTTGTTATGTTGGGAAAGAATGAAACTCCTGGATACGGAGTGCGACGCACACAAGGTGCCGCAGTGCGGCGCTTGCTGCGACAAGAAGCCTGAATAGTCACCTAACAAGCCTTAGAAAAAGAAAAAATTAAAAAATAAAAAACGAAGAGGGCAAGAAGGAAAGATAGGTGTAGGGGCGTGCATGTCTGCTGCACCAGCGGCAAATTACGGCCGCGAAACCTAAATAGCCACCTAACAAGCCTTAGAAAAGAGAGAGAGAGACAGAAAGAGCAAAACGAAAAGGGCACGAGAGAAAAATAAGAGTAGCGTCGTGCATGTCTGCCGAGCGAACGGCAAATTACAGTGTCAAAAATCCTGAATCGATATGGGATTCACGATGGCTTCTGCGCCTCCTTTGCAGGAGGATCACACTGTGCACCCGAGTGGGAGAACACAGCGAGTCACACTTAGATATGGTTCACCCAATGCCATACTCCACAGTGAAAGGAACGTGAAATGTCAGCTCACTTGAGATGTTGAACTTTGGTTGGAGTGCATGACAATGTCAGCGGCTCAGCGGTGGCAAGGCT